AAGGTCCACTATGCTACATATGAGGAACACATTTAATTTAAAAAGAAATTCGTAGACTGAAAATAAAAAGATAGAACAATATTCCATGTGACACAAACCCAGAAAAAAAGCAGGGTTAGCTATTCTGTTTGTAGGCAAAGCGAATTTCAAGTCAAGACTGATTAATAAGAGAGATAAAGAGGGTCATTATATCCTTGTAAAGGCAACAATCCAAGAGGAAGAGATAACAATCATAAATAGATATGCAACCCATATATATATAAAAGTACTAATAGGAAAAATCAATAAAGCACTAAAAAAATTGTATTGGGGGATCTCAGTACTGTCACAAAAAGTCAATTCAACTGAACAGAAAACGATGAAGTAATAGAACTGAACCAAACTTTTGAACAAATGAACCTAGTATGGATGTCTGCAGAGTGTTGCACCCACATTCTCAGCTGCAAACAGGACATTCTCCAAAATAGACCACAAACAGCCTATAGAACATGCTTAAGTAGATGCAAAGAAGTTGAAATTATCCCACTCATACTATCAGACTATAGTGCAGTGAAATTGAAAATCAGTGGCAAAAGAAATGACAAGAACTTAAACATGTGGAAATTAAATAGCACCCAACTCAACAATCAATGAAATTAGACAGTTTCTACAATTAAATGATAACAATGACAGTAGTACAACATTGTAACTTATGGGGCACAATATGAACAGTCCTAGGAGGGAAATTTATAGCAGTTAATACCCATATCAGGAAAACAGCAAGTGCAAATGAACAATTAATGATGAACCTCAAACTTTTAGAGAGTATCTATGTAGAGTATCCCTGAAATTAAATTGTCATTGTTAATAGATGACATGATACTCTACATAGAAGATCCCAAAATCTCCACGAAAAAAAGAATAAAAAAGGTTAGAATTAATAAGCAAATTCAGGGGAGATGGCTCAGGGGAATAAGTGCTCCCCTTGCAAGCACAAGGGCCTGAGTTGAATCCCTGGTTCCGCCAAAAAAAATAAATAGCCAAGGCCAGCAAGATAGTTCAGTGGTCTAAAAAGAAGAGCAGGCTGAGCCAAAAGTTCATATGTGGAAGGAAATTAATAAAATTAGAGCAGAAATTAATTGCATTAGAGACTAATAAATACAAAGAATCAATGAATCAAAAAGTTGGTTCTTTAAAAGATTGAATTGGCATGCCCCTATCCAACCTTATCAAAAAGAAAACAAATGCCTTAAAACCATGTAATAAGGAATTAAAAGGGTGAAATCACAACATTACCTACAGAAATTCAGAAGATCTATATCTACTTTGAAAACTCACATTCTAATAAGATGAAAAATGCAGAGGAGATAGATTCCTAGATACAGACAAATTACTAAAGCTAAATCAATACATAAAAAGCATAAGTAAACCAGTATCAAACAATGAAATGAAAAATATAATTAAAACTCAACCAGCAAAGAAGCCCACGCCCTGATGGATTTACTTCTTTTTTTTTTTTTTTTTTAAATTGTGTA